ATTAATTAATTGAATGATATATATTTACGAAAGCAGTGAAGCGGATAAGAAATAGAATAAAAAAAAAAAAAACACTCAAACACAAACCATTAAATTAATTAATATATATTTACGAAAGAGTGAAGGCAGATAGGAAATGGAATAAAAAAAAAACAAACAAACACACCAATTAATGAACAGTCAATCTTGCGGATGCTTCACAAGGAAGGGAATACGACCCTCCTTCCCTCGTAACTCGATTAGACACAAAGAACAAAATCAGGAGGAAAAATAACATACATCCAGTCGGCGGAAATGTTCCAACTTCCGCTTTCCAATTAAAGTCCCCCAATTAACGGACAGTCAGAGTGACGCAATCAGTGAACAAAACAAGGACACAAAAAGAGGTGAAGAAAAGGATTAATCTGTTTCAACTTGTCATACGTGTTTACAAACGCGTGTGTACACATATGTACAGCGTGTATAGTGTGCTATTATATAAAGGGTACACAGACGTATACACACACACACATACACAAACATACAACCTCCCCCACAAAACACATACAACACAAACAAAACCTCCCTCCCCCCCCTCCGTACACCCGGAAACAACCATCACCCCCATCCTTTCAACCACCCCTCCCACCTTCCATCACCTCTTCCACCACCACCCCTTCCACCTTCACACCCCTCCCCCACCCCACCCTCTCTTCCACCCTCCCCCACCCAGCCCTGCGAAGGGGGAACCAAACTCCTCTCCTTCCCAAACACATTTAATGAAGCGAGCGACTCCAACATTACCTCGAAATCGGTTATATTCCCCCCATTGTCCGCGCGAATTTTAAAGCGCTATTAGGTATGCATTGGAAACGTAATGCAATCAGCTGATAGACCCGCGGACGAGCGACGCCACGCCTCCTGAACGGCGAGGAGGTGATTCGCTCGTTTGGGGAAAAAGGGCTTGCTCAAGGGCCTGTTGTTCATGTGTTGGTGGTGGTGTGGTTGTAGGTGTGTGGGGTGGTGGTGTTGTGTGTGGTGTGTGGGTTGTAGGTGTGGTGGTGGTGGTGGTGGTTGTTGGGTGTGTGTTACATACATACATATGTCTGTATGCATGTTTATCAAGATATAGTTTATACTTACAGAGATATATTTATGTACTTAATTCTCTCTCTCTCTATCCCTCGTACAAATGTAAATATAAATGTGTGTATATATATATATATATATATATATATATATTATATATATATATATATATGTTGTACATATATATTACACATAAAGAGAGAACAGAGAGTAAAAATACTATAGACTCAGGTAAGAAAAAAAAAAACATCAGCCATTTAGAAACTGACACTCCCCCCCACCCCTTTATCTCCCCCTCTAAGAAAAAAAGAAAAACCCTTCACTCCAGACACACGAGGCCGAACAAAGTAAAAAAAAAAAAAAAAAAAAGAGAGAGAGAGAAAGAGAAAAAAAGGTGATGAAAAGAGGATCTGAACTTCCTTTAATCCCTAAAAAAAAGAAAAAAAAAAAAAAAAATGTCCTTTGTTCCGTTGGATTCAGAGCGCCATTAGAAACCCGCTCGTCTCACCATCATCTTAATTTAGTTCTTAAGAACGAGAAACCTAATCAGGTGTTTTAAAGGAGAATAAGAAGAATAAAGAGAGAAGAGAGAGAGAGAGAGAGAGAGAGAGAGAGAGAGAGGAAGAGAGAGAGGGAGGGAGGGGAGGAGGGAGGGAGGGAGGAGGGAGGTGAGGGGAGGAGGAAAGGAGGGAGGGAGGGAGGGAGGGAGGGAGGGAGGGGAGGGGAGAGAGAGAGAGAGAGAGAGGAGAGAGAGAGAAAGGAAGAGAGAAGGAGGGATGAGAGAGAGAGAGAGAAAAGGGAGAGGGAGAGGGTGGAGAGAGAGGAGAGGGTAGAGAGAGGAAGAGGGTGAGAGAGAGGGAGAGGGTGAGAAGAGAGGGGAGTAGGTGAGAGAGAGGGAGAGGGGAGAGAGAGGGAGAGGTGGAAAGAAGGGGAGAGGGGTGAGAGAGAGAGAGAGAGAGGAGAAGAGAAGGGAGAGAAGAGAGAGAGAGAGAGAGAGAAGAGAGAGAGAGAGAGGAGAG